ATAGAGGTTTCACTGTATTAATATTTTTCCATCTGCATTACCAAGGTAATAGCCATGCTAACTTCTGAATTGAACAGATCACTATTTTTCACTGTTGGATTCTGAAATGTGTGTGGAGACCGGCCATGAAAAAAATGTGCAGCTTTTGTCTATGTCAATTCAATCACATGTAAGAAATAGTTGCTGTGTAAATTATGTTTTTTTAATTTTCTGACAGTATCACGTTAAACTATGTAGCTGATCATGTGGAATTTGGTATGGTTAAGTCAAAAATGTATCACTTATATCTGAAAACTTTTTTTTAAAAAAAACATAGAGCAGAATGACTTGGGCATGGCCCATGAATTTATAACTGTTTATAGGCAATCAGAAACCTAGATATATGTATGATCTGAAGCTTTCACGGCCTGGGAAGAATTCATTATAGAAACCTAGAGTATAACTAACTAACTAGATGGCTTACTGAACCCGAAGTTTCATCACTGAATTAACCAAAGCCCTCCACCTGACCCTGTCCTGGGCCAACAAAAGCCAGTCTAGAAACCTAGAGTATACATATATAAACTGTGGGGTATGTTGGTACAATTCTGTTAGATATTTATATGTTCCAAGAAAAACTTAAATGTCTTAATTGGTAATGGCAGAAACCAACAGCAGTAACTGAAATTTTGGATTTTTACACTCCTTTAAAAATAGTTGGTGAAATAGATGAGACAGTGTTATGATTTCAGGTTATTTTGCTGACCTCTTCGGAGTAAATCTTTTGTGTGTGTGTGTGTCTGCAGTCTGTTTCTTTCCTCTTCCATTAAACCAAAATTTATGGACCAGATCATTTTCCAACTTGCTGTTTTACCATTCTTACAGGGAGCCAAAGATATTAGACAGTGGTGGAGAATCTCATTGGCCTCCTTTTTCAGAAGAGAAGAATAATTTCGTTACAATTACAAGTAAACCAAGATCCAATGTAAACTTTCGTTTTTGCCAGATGGCATTATGGAGTGGCATTATTTCACGACTTCAGTCTGCAACATGTGAAGCACTGTGGGGTATCACAAAATTCAGTGAAGATGCACTAGCAGTTGTTGACCAGGCATTACAGAAAGGAGAGAAAAGCAGTGCAGTTGTCAGTACAGTGTTAAACAAGACATTGCAATTTGAAAATGGTCAGGTTGGTAATGGAGCATTACTGAATATATTTGGAAATAAAACATTGCTTCCTCAAACAGACAGTAAAGTTGGAAATGCAGCAATTATAAATAAAGTAAATACATCATTTTTCCCATTCCCAAATGTTCCTAGATCACCAATTGGATGATGGCAATCTATATTAATATATACCCTCTGAGGATTTCACATTTGTTCTTGGGTCTTTTCATATGTATGTTTATAACTAGACCTATTTCCTAATCTGTTGTTGGTGTTTGTACTTCTGTATATTAGTAAATAATTTCAGGACACTTTTTAATGAAACATGAATAATGGTACAGATAAACTGCATTTTCCTATTTTTAATTTTTTTCAAAACTTCTTTCAATCTATGATTATGTTCTCTGTTTATCAATTTGTATGGTCATGGTTATGCTCTAGGTACTTTATATATGTTTCTTTCCTTTTATCAAGTAACAACTTTAATTCTGCAGTCAGTATGTTGAACCAATATTTTTCTATATACTGAACTTCTTTTGCTGTCTTTGTAAAGATGACCCAGATAGGGAAAGTGACCAAACATAGATTTAATATTAGATGTGACCAACTAACTAACTAGATGGCTTACCGAACCTGAAGGTTCATCACTGAATTAACCAATGCCCTCCACCAGACCCTGTCCTGGGCCAACAAAATCCAGTCTCCTTCAACTCCTCTCTCTCATAGATCCCGCCTGAGATTATTCTTCCATCTACGTCTAGGTCTCCCCAGCGGTCTCTTCCCCTCAAGCTTCCCAACCAATACCCAGTGCACATCTCTTGTCCCATCCATGTGCACCACACCCTTCCCATATTTTCAGGTTCTTAGAAATCAGACGGGAAGACAAAATATTTTGAACTGAGAAGTAGCAAGCATTTCCGGAATTTAGTCACCTCCTAACTTCCTCATGAGTATCATTTTGATTTGTTATAGCTGTTTCCAAATATTTGAACTTTGTCACACTTTCAAAGGATTTATTAGCCACCCTAAGACAATTCTGCCCACCTGTCTTCTGACAAGATACTAACAAGTACTTAGTTTTTTTCTGAATTTACTTCTAGCCCAACCTGTCTATTAGCCTCTAGTAAAACTTCTGTATTCCTCATTATTGTATTTATGTCGTCTCCCAATAAATTAGCATCATCAGCATATGCCAATAGGTGATGTGTCTCATTCGATTGGAAACCCTTCTGCCTATCTTCAACTTTCCTGATGGTGTATTCTAGCATTTCCTTGTTTCAGATCATTCTTGATGGAAAATGACTCAAATAAATATTTACCTATACAAATTTTGCTACAGGTTTCATTTACGCACATTTTTATTAGTTTCACTAGCTTCTTTGGTATACCAAATTCAATAAGAATATTATATAACACTTATCTCTTCACAGAGTCATAGGCTTTTTTGAAATCTATAAATAATTGATGTATGGTCCCACTGAACTCCCATTTATTCTGTAGTATCTGACAAATGCAAAAGATCTGATCAATTGATTAGATGTGATACAGGAAAAATTCTGCTGTAGTACCAGGATCTCAAATGCATCGAGAATGTAATGTCTGTACTAACTTTCTCTTTCAACATTATTCTGATACTTATTTTCACTATTTCTGTTTTCTGTATTGTCTGTAGAGTTATCTCTCAAATGTACAATTTGCTCTTTCTCACTTTCTTCTAGGTAGTGAGAATAAAGGGAATAAAAGTTCTAGTTATGTATGCATTTATTAGTACTCCGATCTAACAACTGACATTGACAGAAATAAAGTATCATGGCAGATTATGTAAAGGTTTTATTTTATCCTTGATTTCTTGCTTTGGTTTACCTTTAATATCTTCATTCCTTACTTTGTCATCTCCTTTCTTACTTCTGAAATTTACAGATTTTACCTTACCAAGATTTAATTTTAAAAAATTAAAATATGAGGGATGTCTTTGGACAAGATATAACTTATTGATGACACTAACAAAAATTAACTATTGGACACAAAATAATTCTGCTAACAGAACATTATGAATCATAGGTGATGTTAAGGTAATAAACATTGTATTGGTTAGAAAGTTTTAGAGTAAGGGAATATCTGATTTTGAGAGTAGGACTTTATTTTACAGACTTAAAAGTGGGTAACTTACCATGTTAGAATAACATAAATATGTTACTTTCTTTTGATAATGTAATTTGCAAAACATGTTTTTGATACACCATTCTAATATTTTTCATGGATAAACATGTTACATTTCAGATTGCAGTTTATGCATTATCACTATCTTTGTTTTATTATATCAAAATATAAAGATATCTAGTTCATCCCTCATAATTCTTAAGGTATTTTAGATGGAACTGAGTAAGTGCTCAGAAAAATGAGAAAAGTCAAAGAAGAGACATGATTTTGAATCTTGGGACAGTTCCTTGAATGACATCATACATACTGAGCAACTCAGTTTTGTTCTTATTTTGTTTCCTAAAATACCATGTGTGTATTATGTTGAATGAAGTTAATCAGAGAGTACATCAACAAATGTCTGAAGCATCTCCTCTTCTGTGACATCTTTAGGGTTTACAGCTACTCCATTTACTACTTGCTCCTCATTCCCAGCTATGGGTAGTGCTGTACTGTTTTTAACATTACTATGTGAATTAGTCTTTGTAGTTTCAGTATTGGGCTTGTAATACTTTATAGATGACCCTGGTGAATCGAGCTTAATCTTTTTTGGGTTTGGTTCATGATCATCTTCCTGAACATGTAGAACAAAATCATTATTTTCTCTCTCTTCTTCGTTTTCTGTTACCAGAACAGTTCTCTTGGCAGTACAGATTTTAGTATTTCCAGAAATTTCTTTGCTTCCTTTCTCAGTTAAAGCACAGATGATATTCTCACATCTGTTACTTGCATCAGCATAGCTTTCTGTAGTTCCCTTCTGTTGATTTGAAATTAATTTATCTTCATTACTTAAATCTCCTGAAGTACCTATTTCGTTTTTGGATTTTATATGAGGTGATTCTTTATTAATGCGAATAGGTGTTGCAGACTGGATTTTGTTGTCCACCTTGCTCTTACAATTTTGACTCAAACCATTTTTAGAATTCCCAACATTGCTGCAACTACCATTTTCAACACTGATATCTATGAAAGAGGCTGATTGTACTTCTTTATGCTGATATTCATCATCAGAGTCAAAAATATCTACCAATGAAACTTCCTGTTTATTGTGGGTTTTACTAACGACTTCTGACAATCCATGTGACTCTGTTGCCTTATTTTTCACACTGCTGTCTGATTCCTCAGAGTATAGTGATACTACTTCACATTCTGAAATTTCCTCATCATCTTTTTGCATTCTGTTCTCACACACAAGAACAACTTCTTCAGATGAATTACTTGCACGGTAAGCATCGGTTTGTTTTGATCCACCTGAACCTCCTCTCTTGTGAACATAATTGTTCACCTCTTCCTCTTCAGAGGTGTCCTTTGCTTTTGTGGGGTATTCTTGTTTGTACCTTTTGGTTGATTCTAGCATTTCCTCAAGAGAGACAGGGAAATTCAATGTACCACTTGCAGGATGGATTAGTTTCTCAAGTGCAGTCAATGCAGCTGTGCAAAAACTGGACACCTGGATGAACAAAAGAATGGAAAATAAGATACAAAAATTAAGCATGTGTATGGCTGCTAAAATTAAGATTTTATTAACTTCTGGTTTAGGGATTAAAAAATGCACTTGAGTAAGGTCTAGATAACAAGAAGGGAAAACTAGAGACTTAATGAGACTAGATGTATGTATTTTCGTTTATTTCTGGCTTAATTGTTCTTCAATAACGTACTTCCACAATTTGTTGTATTTCAGTAGCAAATTTTACCTCAGTGTATTTGTCTGATAACATGGTGATTTATATTTTCGGCACATACGCACCTCTAGATCTGGATCACTGCGTCCTGCAGACAGCATGTGAACAGCAAACTGTGTAGGTGGCGGCCAAGTTGCATGTGGCTCTAAGACAAGTGTGTGCAACAAACGATAGAGTTCAAGGCGGCATGAAGATTCACCATATGGGATTGGAATATCATGGACTTTGCTAGTTCGCTGGATGTTGAATAGAAGTTCTACTGTTGCTTCTTGTAAAAGCTAGAAACAAACAACTGTAGTCAGAATTTATCACTGTCATTTTCATTAAGGTAAAAAGTAAAAAAGCTGACCAACTATACGCCATGTAGGCGCTTGGGGGGAGTGGAGGTATAGCTCCTACTCTTTCTTGACCTCGGCACTAGATGGGGGTGAGTGGTCAGCATCACGCCCCGGCCGGCTTTACCCCCGGGAAAGGACCCCGGTACCCATTGTAGAGGAGGCTGGGTGGGCCCCAGAGCCGGTCTGGATGCAGAGGCTAGAGGAAAAATCCTTTGCCCCCATCAGGGATTGAACCCCGGTCGTCCAGCCCGTAGTTAGTCACTATACTGACTGAGCTATCCCGGCTCCTTTCATTAAGGTAAGAAATACAATATTTTCTCTACACCAATATATTTTTAATCTTTAATAAAATAGTAATTAATATATAACAGCATAGGGATATTTTACTTATTGACGTATTGTTGGAAGTGAAAGTGACAGACTGAAAATTACTTAAGACATTATTTGACAGGTGCACGGATATGGTTCAGAATAGCACAATGCTTCTCCCATACAAAGATCAGTTGGTTAATGCTGTTTTAGGAAATAATATCTGTTTATTGTGAGAATCACGTAAAACTCAATAATACAGTGTGGACAAAATGAAGTTATTAAACTTCAAAGCAGGTGGTACATATAGTAACCACTCAGCTTTAAAGGGACAATGTATATATTTTAAAGATGTTCTGAAATGGTAATGCCATTTTAATTATTATGCATGTCAAAATAAAATATTAAATGCTTTCTGTACTCTGTGCGTGGAAGGTTTGATGAAGGCAGCTGCAGAATGAAGCATCCATTGTAGAACTTGAAGTGTTGCTCTACATGTCTTGCTATTGGCCTTTTGATCTGGAATGTACTTTATGGAATTCCAAACATCTTTTTGTTGTTCTTGTTGCTGCTGTTGTTCAGGTTTATGCTGCCTAAGTTTATTTTTTTTCTTACTGTAGGTTCCCTGGACCTAAAGAAAAATACAATGTACTCCAGATGAAACAGGTCACATTCTTAGAAACAAAAAATTAACTAAAAAAGTGACCATGCATGCATTTGTTATATTTTTTATAAATGCTTCACTATAGTGATATTCCCAGATTGTTTTATTTTGTTATACAGAAGTTTCTTTACAGGTGGTGTACATAAAAAGTGAATCATTAATTAAAGCTGCAAATTGAGATCTCTGAAATGAAAAGCTTCTATCAAAATTAGTTTGAAGAAATTTCATGTTGCCACACTTTGTAATCTGTTTTGAGATGTAACTGATATTCACAGCTGCATAATGCATCAGATTTACCAGAACTGTCAACACCTTAAAGAAGCTCCAAAATGTTTCACTTAATCTCTATTCAGTGTGGCAGTAATGGTTACTGGAATTACTTTTAGAGATAGCTAATACAGAGTTGTACAGTACATTGGAATTTTTTACATTTTCCTGAGGCTACAGAATTTAAATAGGCTGGGGAAATCCTACAAGGAAAAGAACCAAAGATTTTAATCTTAACTGAAGGCAAACATTAAATTCCACTGTAATCAGTTACAATTACAGAACCATTTAACCTTTCAGTAACTTACTGCTAGAAAGTTACTGAGAAGTATACCCTTGCATGCTAATAACAAGCCTAATTCTTGAATACAAAGGAAGGCCAAAGAGTCTGTATAGTCAATGTCACTGACCTCCACAGGTAGTTTTATCATTTTGGCCACTTATATAGAGATTCAAGGTCATGAAATTCACAAGGGGTTAAACTTAAAAGCAGGAGTCAGCTATAAGTGACATAGGAACATGGAATGTAGTGAACTCACATTGAGTGTTACTGCCTCTTTTTCAAACCAGATATCCTGCATCAGAACCGAGGCCAGCTCTTCAGATATGAGCTCCACACAGCTGCCGCAGTTTGAAGTCTGAAGCCATAGTATCAATGTGTTGTACGCTGTTACACGCAACTGTCTGTCAGAAACATTGTGCAGAGTCAGTAACTAATTTATTCCTCAAAAACAGTACATAAGAAAATAAGTCATAAGCTAACAACATTCTGTAATCCTGGCAAGGAAGAAATCAACTTCTGAGGTAAGAGACCACATAGGTTGGGATTCAACTTACTGAGAATGATGGAATGGGTGATCATGATGACTAAAAACTTACCCATATGGCTTTTCAATACCATATGCCCACTTTTCTGCAGAAGTCCACTTAAGAGTTTGGAGTACCAGTTTGCAGATAACTGGAGCATATGGCAGCAAATTACGCCCACAGCTAATACAATAAAAAGTAACACATAATTAGTTCTATGGTTACTGATGAATGATGTAGTTATAAACTTAGAGCCTCAAGATCATGTTTTCGGTGCATATATTTTTTAGCAAAATTAATCAAGAAACACTAAATAAAGATTCAATACTTTCTGTCAGATTATTACTCATTCTACATAACTTGTCTGTGTGCCACGATTTCTGGCTTCCAGAATCATTGAGCATTGTGACCATACAGTTTAAGAATTACCATGAAAATTTCAGATCTTTTCATCTAGCCATTCTTAATATTCTGTGCTAGCACTGACCACATAATCAGGGAATCCAAAACCTTCAATAGTGCAACATGAATCTGTGGCATCATAGCACCAACCATCAACAGGTCAGTTGAAACTTTCTTTTCCATCGTATGACTAGTGACTGCCAGTCCACGGCAGACAACCCCAAATATTTCATCTGGTAACACTGCCTTCTCCACAGGAAATTCTGAGCTGCAGAAAAAGATATGTTTTTGTTATACTGTATTTCAGTAAAAATCAGACAAATAATATGGGATATAAAGGTCTGGTATTGTGGTCAGCATCACTGTATTTGCTTTTAATGCTTTGTCATGCCTAATACAGCAGACGTTGATCTGGATAAGAGGTTTGAAACTTGATAAGAAGTTCTATTACTGAGAGTGGTGGCCAAATGTTTGCCTTCTCCCACAAACTGCATCTTTTGAAGAACTTCAGACAGATTGTCTGATTCACAATCTGGCCTAAGCAAGATATAGTTGGAAGATTTTCTTTAAACATTCCTACATTTTAAATTTTGAGAAAAATGCTTGTTTGGGTTTGGTAAATCAGGAAAATATCAGTGATGACTCTGATAACTAATCTCTGGATTATTTGAAAAATCCAAGTTCCAACACTAATGATGACATGGTTGACATTTTAATGATTTTGAAGATTAGAATAATATTCTTCTTCCTGAATACCTGATCATCAATAAATGAGTTATATCATCTTACAGTTTAGTAATCATATATATTTTTTCTGTGGCTGCCAAACTAAACTAACTAGTAACCTCACCCCAAAGAAAGAGAATTGTCTGGAAACTTCTGAGTTGTTCCTCATATGTTATGGGTTACACCAGGGGTCATCAACCTTTTTATACCTACTGCCCACTTTTGTATCTTTGTTGATGGTAAAATTTCCTTACTGCCCCCCTGGTGCTGCATGTACTGCCCACCACCATGAAAGAGGTATGGCTCGAAGACTGAGTGATGGCTGGTGGTAAGCCCCGCCGTCGTTATGCGCACTAAACTCGTGCCTTTGATATGGAGCTTATTCGTTGCTCCCTCGTCCACGAGTATACTTCGAGAAGTGTCCGGTGAATTATTATTTATATTCAAAGTTTAGAGATGGAATTCAAAAGTAAATTGCAAAATGATATTTTAAAAAGTCAAACTCGTGAAGTTGTTAGCAATATATTCGATATGTGGACGAAGAACAAAATTTGTAACAACGGACAGAAACCCACACCGCCCACCATGAAATCTTGAATCGCCCACTAGTGGGCGGTAGGGACCAGGATGACAACCCCTGGGTTACACTTATTCATTTTATTTGCTGTATTCCTACTTACATAAGCATTGCTTGCAGAAACTTTGAAATATTAATAAATCTAGTCATCAGCTGATAAATTCTCAGCAGTGGCACAATCTCTGAAGTGGCTGGAAGAGACAACGTTCCACATGATGCCAGAGAGCTATGACAGTTCTGAAAGAACACAAACAAGTATAGATGTTAATTACACAATTATTTCTGTCATCAAAGGATGTTCCTTAACATTTTAAAAATACATGAAGCATACCGGTATTTCTCTGACATTATCAAACAGTTCATCCAGAATACAGTGAAGTGTTGTGCACACTTTCTGTTGTTGTTGCTTCCATCGTGACACGTGATTGGCTCCCTGTGAACCGCCACCACCAAGGAGAGGAAGGAATGCCACACAACGAGCAGCACTGTTAATTACGATAACGTCAGCACTGTCTACATATTGCAGCACACACTTCTCCAGGACATTCTGCAATAAAATAATTTGCATTTAATAATTTTATAACCGGACTCAACAGCCGTCTGAATTGTCTCATGGCAGAAATAGGACATATCACTTGTTAATATTATTGTTACTGATGAGGCAGAAATAAGATAGAGGAAAAGAGAAAAGAGCCATTCTCCCGTGTTTAGATGGCATAAGATTATCATTTTGTTCCCAGAATGGGCATTAAATCAAATGCTACATAGTTCACGAGTATAATGCAGTGTGGATTGTAAGCATGGCATGAGTGCATAATTGGGGTAATATTGAAAGAGTTAATGCCTGCATAACATGGTGATCACTAAATACTGATAAAAACTAATAAATTTCAGTATTTATTGGGTAAGTAATAAAAAGACTAGGCTGGTTCTTTCTACATGTTAATTATTAGTTTATTTTTCAGTTATATGACACTTTTACTTTATGTGCAATACCTTTGTTGTAAATAACACATTTTATTGCATTTGCAGACATAGACTGAAAGTCAATATTAAGATAGATCTTGAGGAAATAGGTTGTTGAGAGAGTGAACTGGATTCGTCTAGATCAGCCGAGTCCCCACAGCAAGCTCATCTGAACATAGTAATGAATTTTCAAGTCCCATAAAAGGTGAGGAGTTTATTAACTAGCTGAGTGACTACTAGCTTCTCAAGAACAATGCTGCTCTGTGGAGTTAGCGTCTATAACTGTACCTTCTGCTGTCCACATGATGGCCCATAGTTACACATCAGCACTTCTAAACACTCTAGCATTGATAATGAGGCCTGTAAGAGAGAAATATATTAAATAATGATCTTAAGATCAATTACTGCAGTAATTACTGCATTAATCTCTCAGGTTTTTATAGTTGAAGCGTATGGTTAAAAATAATAAGCGCTTTTAAATATTTATTGACTAAGAATACCAGCAGGTGTATGTTTATAGTATTCTTTATTATTATATGTATGTCTTGTAGACATAAACATAACATAAGAGGTTGGCATGAGTGTAAAGGTGAGAAACAGCATAGTATAGTGCAAGGTAAAAGTTGTAAAAGTGATGAATATTCAGTAGGGGGATCTAAACTGTATTCTACTCTTTAATCAGAAAAACATACAAAAGTGCAACATTAATTAGAAATTTATGAGTGATGTGATTACATTTGTCCAATATGAAATCATTAAGAGCCACAGTCCTTATATATATATAGACCAGCATGTACATATATTAATTATCTGTAAGAGTAACAGATATGCCAATGAGCCAGGTAGCTCAGTCAGTATAGTGACTGGCTACGGACTGGATGACCAGGGTTCAATGCCTGACAGGGGAAGAGGATTTTTCCTCTAGCCTTTGTGTCCAGACCAGCTCAGGACCCATCCAACCTCTTATCCAATGGGTACTGAGGTCCTTTCCCGAGGGTAAAGCGCGGCCAGGGCATGACGCTGGCCACTCAACCCTATCTAGTGCAGAGGTTAGGACTGAGTAGGAGCTATACCCCCCCAAGTGCCTACATGGCATATAGTTGGACAGCTCTGCTTTACTTTTTTAAACAGATATGCCAGCATGATAGCCATTATGATGAGCAAACAAAGATGCTCTCTGTTGCCATAGACGAAAGAGGTACTGAAATGTGTTTCAATTTGTAATATTCTTGCGTCCAGTTGTTACTAACAAACAAATGAAACTCCAGAATACCTCTTGAGGAACAATCTGCTGGAAATTATCAATTATCTTTGTCACCACAAATCCACTAACAACTCTCTTCATCTCTGGCATCTGTTCTGACATTTCCAATAGAAGTTCTGAAAGAAGAGAATACAACAACATTGCTTCTGGAAAATTTATTATAAAATAGAGTGATACACATTTTAATTATGAAAATATAACATTTGCATTAGAATATATAATAGTTATTGTACAGAAAAGAACAGTAACAGGTTTAAAGTGATTAAATTAACATTGTTTAAAAGGAAACACTTTCTTACTGAGAACTTGATATGATATACTGGCCAATGCATGATTATTCTGCCCCCTTTCTATGCTTTTTATGCACTGCTGCATCCAGGATATTACATTCTCTCCAAATATTTGTACTGAACATTGTGGCAAGAATGTTTTGAGTAACAGTAGGCCATCATACCTGGAAAAAATATGTAAAGAGCATATAAAAAGTTTGGAATATTCTAGATGTGTAATCTTGAACATCTTCATGATTAACCCTTAAATTCTATGATCCTTTCTGCAGGACTTGGTCACATTCAATTAAACCACTGTGCACATGGCATTAATATATACAATGGGAACATTGTAATGGAATATTATGTCAGAGATTAAGTTGGTTAAAATAATAATGCTGGGCTCAGCAACTGTAAATGAATACCAAATTCAGAAACAGTTACATGTGGTTACCACAACATAATACCAATTCTAAAACATCCTCACATGTATGTCTGCTCTTATAAAAACAGAAAAGGCAACCCCTTCAGAATATGATGACAAGTGTGCTTATGTTTTAGTCCAAAATTACGTTTTCTTAGCCCTAGCAAACTAGTGTTATAAGACACTCGAGTGAAAAGAGGTACAAGGGACAATGTTTCATATCGCCCATATCCTAAAAGTAATACTTCAGAAGGTTCATGCAAGAAGGAAAATTTGTACCTGGTAGCTGAGGCATTTAGTTTACTGTTGATATTTGCCACAACTGGCTGTATGACGACGGGGGCCTGAAAAATGTTATTGTAATCCATACTTTAATAAAACAGAAAGCATCTGCTTGCCGGTATGAAAACTTATGAATATATAAACAAACATTCACATTCAAAATAACACAGCATATGATTTCCGTAAATAGAGGTAAAGATAAACCTATCCATATGGGAGATACCTTATTTAGAAATGTCTTATTTTCTGTACATGTTTTCAAAAATTTCTGTAAAATCGTATCATTACAATTATACTGAGAAACTGTTTCGAACAAACTCAACATCCCATCCATTATTTCTGGAGCAGATTATTTTCCTGTATTCCTATTATAACCTAAACTCCATAAACACGTGCTAAAGTAACACATTTGAGCAGGACGATCTCTGGTGTTATTACTGAAAACTTGGTTACAGTGTGGTAAACATGATGGACGAGAAATGTATGTGTGTGTGTTTGAGTAATCTGAATGTGTTTTGCGTGAACCACAAGGGTATGATTCTTTTGTAATTTTCTACGATCTTTTTGCTAATAATATTACACTGATTTTGGACTACATGATTTTAATTGTTGTTGGTTAATATAGATTTCGAAGAAGGCTCGTCTTCTGGGTTGTTGCGCCGTGTAGTCCGTAGAAATTCATCGACGTTTGAAAGGTCTTTGCTGCCTCCATCATCAGGGTTACCCTGGTTACTACGTTACTGCTTACACCAGAATATATGCAGGTATGAACAATATGTATTCATGAATAGAATGTGTTCATTCTCAAACATTACTTTGCATGAAATGTTTTGCTGATGTTCATGAAGCATTTAGCATTGTGTATCCTGACAGGAAAGTACCGAGTAAGACAACAACTAGGAAGAACATTTCAGAACACAGGAAGTGTTTTTGTATGACAGTTGTTTATTGAGTGACAAAACGGATTACTAATTTCCAGCACTGCATCACCTGCAATTGTAATGAAAGAATTCAATATTTTCATCTGTAGAGTAGAGTAGAGTAGAGTTTATTTACATAACATAGATCCTTCTTAGGACTCAACCAAAGGATGTAGAACATGTCATTTCATACAATATACATACACTTCACAACTTTCAACACAAGTACAAGAACGTATTTCACATATCAATGTACATAAATTTCAGATTCTGCAATACAAGTATGAAAAATAATTTTACAAAATTAATATACATAAACCTCAGAATTTTAAATATAAATACAAAACTTGCTTTACATACACGTAGATTATGGATATAAAGCTTAAACATTTTCAGCAGAGATGAAATCATCTACAGAATAGAAGGAGTGAGTAAAGAGGTAATCTTTCAATGCAGGCTTGAATAC